TACTTTTATACAAGGTTCATATACATGAATGAACAACTGTACCTGCAAACCCACCGGTTGGAGCAGGTTCAAAAATTTCAAACAAATCAGCAAGAAAAACGTTGATATTCATTTGTAGTGAATCATGAAGATAAAGAATATCTTCAATATCAAAGTGAAACGGATTCCACGGTAGGCAATTGTGACAAAACCGTCTGAAATAAAAGTGGGTCACGAAAGCGCAGATTATGTGAGAAACTATGTGAAAAAGGAAATAGCTTTAATAAGAGCAAGTTGGAAAATACAACTGCCGTCTTACCAATGAGGTTGGGCATTTTGGTGCAGAACACCCAAAACATTTTAAAAACGACTCAAATTCCCGTATATCAGATATTTAGGAAGAATGATACCATTTGCGTCTCAAAATTAGACACCTTTCACTTCAAGGAACTTGTTAACGCACTACGGAGCTTAGCCACGAAGACCGGGCCAAAATTTTTCATTTCACCGTGAGTACTTCATACCACAGTACGGTAACTTCAGTAGGCGAACAACCAGACACCGTATCCCCAAAGGAGCCGTAAATAAATCTGGGTGCACACCAAACACAGCATCTCACGACAACAGCGTCGAAATCGCCTGGATAACGCACGTATGTGTTGCGGTTGCTATTGCCTCGTGCATTTTTGAACGTTTTGGGCGAGAAGAATAGTATAGATATCGATCTGGCGTTTTTAGCACCGATCGACAACTACACTATACTTTTCGCTTAAAACGCTAGCATTCCGCTGAGAAGATTCAAAACGCTAGGTCGATAGCTAACTTTCCTTTTCGCCCAAAACGGAAAACCAAATGGGAAACTTTTCGCCTTCCAGATTAGTGAACGAATGTTGTTGCACTATGCACAACTTTTTCTCCTCATTTCAGCACCACTCCTAGAATGCCTAGTTCAGGTTCCAACTGCGAGCTTATTCTTGAAGCTGTGAATAGGGCTGACTATGGATCTCGTACTCGTACTGTATTTCGTTCAGAAAAACTATGCTTGTCATCATTCCTCGTATCGCACGAAACCAACAGGAAGCAAGCAGGCAGTGGTAACCACACGACAAGGAGGCTATACTGTCATCAGAACCATATATAAGGATATTGATGATAAATGCCCTGCTCCTTTCCAAGTTCGAGTAGTGTATAGAGTATCGAAGCCACTACTCGAACATGGAAAGGAGCAGGGCATTTTTCACGGAATGAATACTGGACTGTGAAGGAGAACACATGCAAA